GTTATTCTAAATAAAACGTGTATTTTTGTGTTTTTCAAAATAAAATATGTATTTTTGGTGTTATTCTAAATAAACGTGTATTTTTTGTGTTTTTTAAAGTAAAACGTGTATTTTTGTGTTTTTCTAAATAAAACACGTATTTTTTGTGTTTTTTCAAAATAAAACGTGTATTTGTTATGTTTAAAAAAAGTTTTATTTATTTATTTATTTGTATTTCCTGGCCCAATTAAAAGAGAATCAGACAACCTGAGGAGTATTCGGTGTTGTACCTGCGCAGCGTGCTCAGAGCATCAGTCATGGAGTTGCAGCGTTTCAGCAGAGCCTCCAGGCGGTGCGGCTCCTCTTTCAGGAACTTGACAGCCTCCACCTCCACTCTCAGCACCACCCTCATCTTACTCTGCAGGCTGGGGAACTGGTCTGATGAAGAGGATGACAGATGAAGATGGTCCAAGAGAGGCGGAGATTTAACATTTTTAATAACTTCATACCAGCTTTCATAAAAGTCAAATCATAAATAGTTTCCAGCAGCAGCTTCACCTCATCGTTAATAAAAAGCTCCGTTTGTTCCCACAAACCTCAGCAGAACGGTTTCTCCTCCCGTGTGTCTTCAGACTGTTTATATTAATAATTAGCAGCTCACAGTTCAGAGCTACAGCTGTAGGATCCACCGGACGTTTTCAGTTCAACACAATAACGAGTCCTGCTGAGCTCCGGAACGACCCATTAATATTCAGAGTACACAGAGAAGTACACAGAGAAGTACACGGGTCAGAGCAGCAGGACCAGAGGCCAGAACCAGAACTCTGTGAACAGTAATTAGAGGCGAAGACGACTCATGAATATTCAGCTGCTGTTTGCATAACATTTATTTAATGAGCAGCAACTTAAACACTTCCTGTAGCTGAACTACGGCCTGAAACTACTACAGTAAAAACGCAATATTTAAATTTATACATTTTAATATATTAAATCAGCATTAAGGCGAAGAGTTCAGCAAATACTTTATTATATTTAAATATAAAACAGTTGTCAAGGCCATCAAAAAATAAACTGTTCTCAGTGTTTGTGGTCCACGAGGACAACATATCAACTCTCCAATGCTCCAGGCTGGGAGTTGAACCGGCAACCTTCTCAGCTCTAACCACTGATCCACCGTGCCTCACCTGGACGCCTACAACCTTTTAGAACCAACCTAATTCAAGATGGCCGCCACAGCTGATGATTAAACACAGAAACGTTTCAGACTCAGCTAGTTTTGAAGATGTTGAGCTAAAACTGGAGGTGGTAGTAGCTGAGAGTCATCCTCACACTCCCTCAGAACATCACCAGCTCTCATGTTACGTTTGCTTCAAGGCTGGACTAAAACAGGGTTACTACAGTTTAAAGCAAGTTAAATTTAAGACTTTTTAAAGCCAAATGAAATTAAACTTAAGACCAATTTCACAATAAACACAAACGACAAGTAAAATAAATAAAAAATGGCAGAAACTCATGAATTAAAGTATTTTTGGTTGAAGTATTCAAATATTCCTAATAAACCTATTGTTTTTAACCATATCTAACTGATTTTTTTGTCAAATATAGCAAAAACATTTTTACCAGTCAGTTTTAAACTTGATTTAGTTCCTGGAAATTCTCCAGCGACCCAAAATTTGGAGTTTTAGGACCCAAAAAAGGCCTGTGACACCAATTTTTTTGTAAGAAATATGAATATATGTTTCGGAAAGACAACATTATTAACATATTATGAAACAAATTTCATGATGCTCAGATGAACAATTGAGATATTTACATGTGAAGTAGCAGGAAGTGATGTTAAAGAGGAATGTGAATGTTTTAAAAAAAATAAATGTTACCAATTATTTTAATCTTTTAGGTGAGTTACAGTCATCCTAAGACTTCAGAAAGATTAATTTAAGACATTTTAAGGCTAATTAAGGCCTTAATTTTGGATAGATGAATTCAATGACTTGTAAGACTTGTTAAGGACCTGCAGGAAGTCTAAAACAACTTGGGTTTCTTTCAAGCAAAACAGATTTTTCATTTATTTGTTTATGAGATCTGCTGTCTAAAACTCAAACTGAAGCTCTGGATTTATGAAGTTTCCAGACCCCCTAAAGACCGTTTTTTTCCAAAAAGCGACAAATTTAGTGACTTTTCCTGGTGTAATTGGAGACTTTGAGGTTTTAGCGGCACAGCAGTTGGCAGCAGTGCTCTGGACTCAGGAGGATAAAACTCGTTCCATCAGTCCCACCTTTAATTAGTTTTCTTTATAAAACTCAGACGTGCGCACGCTGAGCAGCTGCTGTTCGGTTTGTTTTGAGCGCTGCAGGAAACCGGAACACCTACTTTTGAGCTCAGCGAGCGTGTCTCCCAGCATCCTCAGCTCTTTGCTCTTCTGCTCCACGTCCTGCTCCGTCACCAGGCCGTGGTTGATGGAGGAGTTCCTCTGCAGCTCCTCCACAGACTTCTCCAGGTCGCTGCGAAGAAATAAAAGATCGTGTATGTATGTATTTTATTATTATTATTATTATACTTGACTCATAAAATATTCTAAGTACTTTTCAGTGAGGCAATAATTATTATTATTATTATTATATACATATATTTTGTTGCTGTGTTTTTGTATTTTCTCTTGTTGCAGGTCTTGTGTTTTCTTAATTCATCTCTCATATCTCCTTATCTCCCTTTCAACCTCTTTTTTCACTTTTCTCATTTTTCTTTTCTTTGTTTATTTTTTCTGTCTTGGTGTCCGTTACAAATTACTCCCAAAAGATTTTATAATAAAGGTTTCAATATCCTGTATATGAAGTGGAGCATCATGGTGAAATGCCATTATGCTGCACTTGTGAAAGTAAAACTGTTGGACTTCATTTGGACACTCAGGCTGAGTTTCACACTGCCGGACAGGACATGTGGGGAAAAAAAGAAAAAATAAATAAAACAACATCACGAGTCTCCTCAGAGTCCAGCGCTAACCGTAAACAGAACTGCAGCTAATTGCAAACTGAAACTCTCGGGGGCCCGGCAGCCGACGAGCTGATTAAACTGAGAGACGTCCATAAAAATAACAAAAAATAACAAACAAATCAACCGAGACACTTCACAGTAAGTTACAGCTGAAGCTAAAAGGTTCAAATGTTTAAAAAAAAAAAACTAAAAGCTTTTTTCTTTTCAACGTTTTTTAACAAAACAAGCAGAAAGTTACTATTGAATATAAAACCTAATATAAATTGGTCCGGTCCGGTCCGGTCTGTGAACTCACTGCAGCTGCTGGATCAGCAGCTCCTCCTGGTTCAGGTACTTGAGCCTCTCCTCCTCCACCAGGAGGCGCTGTCTCTGCAGCGGGTCCTCCTGGGGCCGCATGGCGTCCAGCATCATGAGGCTCAGCTCGGACTCGGTCTGCCGCAGCAGGGACAGGACCGAGTCCTGGTTCTCCAGCTGGAGGGAAAAGACAAAACTTTTACAGAAATTACAAATAAAACCCGTGGGAAGAAACTGAATCCCTCAGAATTAATCTGTGTTTACATAATTTCACTAAATTTCACAAAATTTATTTGTTTGAATCTGAATTCATTTATTTTGAAACTGTATTTGTTATATTTGAACACTTTCAGTTCTTTAACATCCAGGTTTTTAAGAAACAAACACAAAACGACATCTGTGAAACTTCCTTTAAGCTAATGTGGGCCGCGAGCGCCACCTTGAGGGCCTCAAAAGAACAACAGTTTTTAACTTTGGGCCGCAGAGGGCCGCAGGACCGCATTCATTTTGAATAAGGTGCAATACACTTTCTCACCACTAGTAGCGGTAGTGCGCCACTCAGATATTTAACAACTTTTTTAATATGTAGAAGAAGAAACTTAGAAACCTGCTGAGAAGGGAAACTTATTTTAAATTAAAAGTAGAAGCAAAAATACGGAAGCGTGTTGCTATCAGGCAGGAAAAAAAAATTCCGAGCGCTATCACGTTATAACGTGATACGTATCTTGTTAAAACGTGATACGTATCACGTTTTAACGTGATAGTATCTCGTTAAAACGTGATACGTATCTCGTTAAAACGTGATACGTATCTCGTTTTAACAAGATACGTATCTCGTTAAAACGTGATACTTATCTTGTTAAAACATGATAGTTATCTTGTTAAAACGTGATACGTATCTTGTTAAAACGTGATAATTATCTTGTTAAAACGTGATACGTATCTTGTTAAAACGTGATAATTATCTTGTTAAAACGTGATACGTATCTTGTTAAAACGTGATAATTATCTTGTTAAAACGTGATACGTATCTTGTTAAAACGTGATAATTATCTTGTTAAAACGTGATACGTATCTTGTTAAAACGTGATAATTATCTTGTTAAAACGTGATACGTATCTTGTT